TTTCGTCCTGTTCGCTTGGCTTATAAGCCATACTTTTTCAGCCAACAAATAGTATTTTTCTCTCATAATAAATCAGCCAGCAGTACTTTCAGCTATGACTTATCAGCCAAACGAACAGGGCAATTAAAGAGCTTATTGTCAGTGGGAATTAGGCTCAATCCACTATACTAAAAGTGGAACATAGTGCTGATACAAGTAAAGATAAAGCCAAAAGTAGCAAGTTAGACTCCCAATACTTCCAACCATGCTGGCATCCTTCAGGCTTACGACCAAGATGCAACGACATAAGTTTTAACACATATCAACTTTAGAACAGCATGACCGATACATATGTATCATCCTTAGACCCAAAATTGCCGATGAACTCGACATCGTTGCTATGCATGCCATGTGTTTTTGAACTCACATATGGTTAACTTGAAAACAAGGGAGCATATGTTGACCACTGTTTGCCTAAGCAGACGTTTATCCCATTTACACAGCATTTAAACGCTGCACGATGGTACACCGTTTTCATTTAATCGCTTGTTTTGACCATTTAAATGGCCATTTTGCCCATTTAAACACTAATTTTACCCGAATAATAGGCTAAATAGCAGGTGACCGACTGTTTACCGTTTAGTGTTTAGGATAACGCTAATGTTGACAACCAAAATATGACCAGGAAGTTGAAGATGAAACAAAAAAAATCTCATACAAAGATCAAAGGGGGCTGATCTCAAATTTTCCTACAAAAATAGGCTTAGTCGGTTTCCCAAACTAGTTTTGACACGTTGTCAAAATACATAACGGCTCCATCATTGTGTTCCTCTTATTAAGACGATCGAAAAACGTATATGGATCATATAGTTTGGAGTCCAGATGAAGGAAATATGAATTTTATGGGACTATTTGACAGAAAATGACGTAGTTGGTTTCCAAAACCAGCTAAGCCGGATTTTTTTGACTTCTCCGGATCGAAGAATGGACACTTCTCCGGATCGAAGAATGGACCTTACCATTGCATTCATGTCGTCGAGACGATCGAAAAATATATAGATCGTCCAATCTGAGTCCGGATGAAGAAATTAAGGTTTCTGGAAAGTTTTTGCCTCGGACTCGCAAAAAACGGCTTAATTAGTTGTTTTTCTGAGTTCGACGGCAAAATCGTGATTTTGTTGTTGGAAACTCCTCTGACGATCTTATGAGAAACTTGCAAATTACATGCGTAATAAGTTTTCTATTTATATAAGACCACCCTCTTATTTATACTAGAGGATCATAAATGATTGATAGATCCATGTATCTGATCGATCGTCAAAATACATGTCTACTTTACTTTTTATCTCCTAAACTCTACCTCTTTACTGCCCAGTACATCTCTCGATGGGATTTATCGGTGTTGTAGGTCATGTTGCTGATCCTATGACAACTCTGTCGTACGTTTCTTCGATGGGTCTTTCGTAGAGACGTTCGTGAGTTTATGAAAAAAAAAACTTGCGTTAAATTAGCCTCATCAACCTGCTAATCGGCTGTGTTACCGCGGCACGGCAAAACGCGTGCTCGCTGCTGACAAGAGGAGAGGCCATTGGCAGGCCCTCCGTTCATAATACTATTCTAGCATAGCATAGTATCATATTTTAGAATCTCAAGTTTGACTAACTACAGATAAGAAATTATTAATATTTATAATATCAAATAAATATTATTAGATTAATTATAAAATATATTTTTATAATAAATTAATTTGGAGTCATAAATACGAATAATATTTACTAAAAATTTGATCAAATATGAACTATTTTTTTCGGTATGTAACTTATAGTTGTATTCTTTTATAGATGTAGGAGTATACGTAGGTATGTGGGACCAGCACTAGGTAGGGTTGGACCCACAAGGTAGTAGCACCGGTAGCGGGATCAGTAGGCCTTGTGCAGTGGGTTGGTGTGCCTGCCTTCCTTTCGCAATTAACAAGGCGCAGACAGCAGGCACAGGCCACAGGCACCGCCGCGGCCACAAGTTGCTACGGACGGACGAGACCAGCGCGCGCCTGTGCGCGCTCGCCGTTTGCAGCACTGCTACCGCCAGTTGCCACACGCCAAAGCAAAGGGCGAAAGGCGACGCCGGTGCTCCGTTGTTTGTTCCGGCCTTTCCCATCCACAGCCTTTTTGACTTCAATGTTCACTTATCTTACCGGTCTTACTTATTCAATCAACCAATAATATTTTTCTCTCACAACAAATCAACCAATACGTGCTGGCTTATCAGCCGAACGAACAGGCAGCTCGTTCCTTCTCGCAGATGGAAGAGAAAACCGCAGTTCACACGCCGATTGCATTGCTCATCTGCGCTGTTCGTAGTGCTCGTTTCTCGTGTCGCACACGCCGGCGGGCGGCGATCGGACGACGGGGAGGATGCACGGCACGGCACGCGCGGGCCCGGTGGTCCAGGCGGGGCAGGAGGGGCCCGCGCCGTGAATCTCTCATCTCGTGTCGCGTCGGAACCCGGAAGAGGGGGCCACCGCTATCCGTTCCATTTATTATCCCCATAGCAGTAGGCCGGCCGGTAGCAGACCATCCCCTCTCCCTGGGGTTTAACGCTCTATGGCGGGAAATCCACTCCCGCGCCGTGGGCTGCGCCATCACTCCGCCAGCTTGGTTCAATGTTCGAACTGCCCAGAGTGTAAAGACGACGGATAACTAGACCCATGACTTTTGATTGGCCAACTACGGTTCTAGTCTTGCGAACGATTGAAGGAGATGAGACGACGAGGCAGCGCCATCGCAACTCTCCGAGTCTCGGAGCTGCGACGCCGCTTTTTCTCCGCCCACTCCACAGTGGACAGTTCTGGCACGCCTTCAGATGCACGCCGCGAGATCCTCCCATGTGAACCGAATCCGCCGGAAAAAGGATGCGCCATGTAGTATTCACGGACTTTGCGCACCGCCCGGGGTGTTTGACGGGGGAATAAAGGTTAAAAGGTGTCACGTTGATGTTACGTAGGGTGTTCCTCGGGCTATTTGATACTAATAAAAAATAAATTTCAATAATCCACTAAATAGATTTATTAAACTTAATTAATTTTTTATTAGCACAGGTTTACGCGGTAGTGTATGTATATGTCAAATATCCCAATAAGACAGCAACTACTAAAAGTGAAACCAAACACCCGCCGTTGACTTCGATCTATTCGCTTGCTCGTAAACGATTATAAATTTTCGATAAAAATAGTGTTTTTTTCTCGAACTAAATTAGACAGCAGTAAATAATCTACGATCATTTACGGCCTCCCGAACAGGCTGCTGACCAGTGACCACCAACTCTCTGTCTGTCACTCTCGTCCCGGATGATAACCAAGAGTCGTGCAACCACGAAGCTTCGCGTCTTTGCTGGGGGATCGCTTGCAGACAAGCCTGCATTCCACGAGGTACCGGGTGATGTGAGGTGTGGTTTGTGTAAGTTCCCATTTTTCAAGAGCTGAGCTTGAATGAAGGCGCAACTGGCCGGCCGATAGAAGGCGCAAGGCCGATAGAAGGCGCAACTGGCCGAGATTACGGCCTGTTCGTTGGTTGGTTGTGAGAGAAAATATTGTTCGTTAACTTATTTTGGTTGGCTGAAACAAACGAACAACAGTCTGATACGGATATACTACTGTACTACTACTTGGTGCTAGCAGTGGTGTATCCCGTCAGATCACCGATCACGCATACGGAGTACGTAGAGGAAGGAAGGAAGCCGGATGGAGGACTTTCCTTTCGCTTCAATTCAATGCTTACGTGATGGGCCAGTGCACGAACCATGCATGCTCCGTAATGTTCAGATCGCTTGAATTGAATCACACCCCTCGCTTCGCTTGGGTAAGTGCGTGTTTAGTTCAAAAAGAGTTTAAAAAAGTGCTACAGTACCATCACATCGAATCTTATCTGAACATTAAACGTAGCGAAAAAAAAACTAATTACGTAGTTTGGTTGAAAATCACGAGAAAAACATTTTAAGCCTAATTAATCCATAATCATTTTGAGCCTAATTAATCCATAATTAAATACTAATTGCTAAATAAAAACAAAAGTAGCCAAATTTCAAACTTTAATCCATAATTAAATACTAATTGCTAAATAAAAACAAAAATACTAACATCGATGATAGTAGTAGTACGCATCACGCAACCAACGCCTGGCTTGGGTTGGGTACACACCCATGTTCAATCGATGATACGCAACCACCGCAACATGGTCGCCGCGTGATAAAACTAATCAAAGAACATGGAAGCTTTTGAGCTGAAGATCATAAAGCTTTTGAGCTGAAGATTGCTCGAGATACTACTAAACCTTCACAACGACGCACGCACAAATTGCAAAGCTATGACGATCATTTTGTCTATCAGATCGGTTCATCTCGAGGTTCAGAAAATGCTCATAGATGAACATAGAGCAAAGGAAAAACGCCTGGGGACAGCAATCAGCTGGCTCAGACTGTTTATACAACAATAATACTACACAGAGCACATAATAGTAGCATTAACAATAGCAGTTCATCAGTTTACAAGTCCTCAGACACAGCTAGCTGATTTTACAACATGCGGAGTACTACTTAACTTAATAATATCACATCACACCGTGCTGTTCTTACAACCTGTAGAGCAGCACCATCTTCTAGCAAGAAACAGCTACCAGAACAATGGACACCTGAACGGCCGGGGTCACTGACCAGTGACCGACCGACCCACCGGAGACGCCGGACACAAAAACGCCGGCTTCCCATCGGTTGTGGTTGTGGTTCTCTCCTCCGGGAACCAAACCCTAAATAACAGACATCTACAACCTGACTGACCTCTGACAGCAACAAAAACAAATTGAACATCTACACAAAACGAACGAACGGGATTAGCACTAATAATCCACTAGTGCCCGCGCAGGATGTCTAAAATCCCATCTGCGCGACGGCCGTTAACCTTAACCCTCTGCTGCAGCCTGCAGTAGTAGTAGTCGGAAGGAGCCAAGAAGAACAATGTCGGTCGGTGGTTAATTGGCGGCGAGGAGGGAGTCCCAGTCGATCTCGTACGACGGGTACTTGGTGAGCGCGAAGCCGGCGGCCTCGTCCCACGGCGCCTCGCTGAAGTCCAGCTGCTGCATCTCCGGCACCGTCGACGACTCGGGGGAGGCGGACGGCGACGGGGACGGGCACGAGGACTCAGCTGCGGACTCGAGGCAGGACGAGGACGCGTCGTCGGAGGACGGCGAGGAGGAGCAGTTGCTGGTGGGGGCGGACGACGACGTGGCAGCAGCTGCAGCGGCGGAGGCGGGCTTCTTGGCGCCCTTCTTCTTGGACGTGGCGATGTTCTGGCAGAGCGTCTGGAGCTTGGCGTCGACGGAGGCGTGGAGCGGGCCGCGGGAGGCGGCGTTGTCGGGGAAGTTGAGGCGCGCCGCGTCGCCGCGGAGGCGGTACGCGGCCTGGTCGTAGGCGAGCGCCGCCTCCTCGGCGGTGTCGAAGGTGCCGAGCCAGAGGCGGGTGCGGTTCCGCGGGAGGCGGATCTCCGCCACCCACTTGCCCCAGTGCCGCTGCCGCACGCCGCGGTACAGCTTCTGCGGCCGCGGCGGGGTCGGGGCCGCCGCCGCGGACGCCTTCATGGGCTGGGCCCGCGGGCCCAGCACGGAGGACTGCGCCTGGCGCTGCAGGTGGAGGCGGGCCTGGATGTACTGCATCTGGGCTGTGCTCAGCTGACCCGCCCCCTCGGCGGCTGCGGCGAACGGGTACCCGCCGTAGGCGGCGGCGGCGGCCGCGGCATGGTGGAAGGAGAACGGCGACGAGGGACTGAGGGGCTGGTGGGGGTGGAGGAGCGGACTGGATCCGTGAGGAGGAGAGGCGGCATCCCGGATAAAAGGCTCGAGTGCGCTCATCAGCTCCTCCCCTGACAGATCTATAGCGGCGGCCATGTAGACTTTTTTTTTTTTTTTTCTCTAGCAAGCAAACCAAGAACAAAACTGGCAGAACCCAACAGCCACAGTAAAAACAGATGGCACTGGTGGGTAGATCTGCTCAGAAGGAACTTACTTGCACAAGGGAGGTGCGGAAAAAGAACCCCTCTTGGCTACCAACCTAACAACCTAGTAGACTACTAAAACCAAACCGAAGATGAAATCGCAGATCTGAAGCCCAGGGTCTAAAAGGCCCCGGGTCTCTAGCTGTCTGCTCGAGGAAGACGAAACCAAAGCAAGGAGGAGATGAGATTAGCAGGAGAGGATGAGAGGGTCGAGTGAACTTTACCTGCGACGCGCGAGAACTCGCTCAGATCTAGGCTTACCTCGCTCGAACTCACTGGAACCGGGGTGGGTGGGCGCTGGATCGGAGGCGGATTTGGCTGTGGTGTGGGTGGGTGACGGGATGGCTGTGGGAGTGTTGGTGGGGCGGGGAGGAAGAGAGGTGGCGCAAGGAGCTCTTTTATAGCGACGCGGCCTCACCGCATTTGATTATCACCCTACTAATCCTCAGTGTCATCGCCGTGGCGCCGTAATTTTTGCCGCGGTAATTCCTGATTAAGGAGCTCTTTTTCTTCACAGCGGCGTGTCGTGTCAGCGATGATGGTGGCAGGCAGAGCAAGGAGAGAGTGAACCACTGACCAGTGGACCAGGGACCCGCGGGCGCCACGCGGTGGCATAATTGCACGGGCGTTTTCCGTCGAATGGGATCGGATGCGTCGGAGCTGCGACGGGGGTGCTGCTGCCACAGCAGCTTTGACCAGTAGCCGAGCGCCACGTACTGGTGCCACTGGCACGTATGGTCCGGCTCCACCGCTTGGTGTCGGTGGCAGCACACGTGGCGGGCTCTTGTTTGTTGCGCCGGTGTTTGGTGCTCGAGGCAGGCAGCCGAGGAGCTGTACTATCGAATATTCTAGAGCATCTTTTTTTTTTTCTCTCCGCCAGGAACTGGACTCATCAGCAACCTGTGAGGCCGATTACGAGGCGTTGAACCAAACAGTCGCAATGAACCAAACAGTTCTTTATTCTTGGGTCATCTCATCGAGCCGCAACGGTGCTACTTGCTTGCAAACTTGTGATGTGATACATCTAGAGAACCACCATGCGTGTCTGGAAGACACTCTAGAGCGTCACATAATATGGTCAAGAACTAAAAAAGATAAAAAGGATCGCGTCGCACATGTCTGCGTGTTGCGTTGCGTTTAGACATGCCGGCACATGGCCACTTCGTTTGGCGTCGTCTTTCGTGACGTTTTACAGACGCCATTAAGAAACAGTCACGCCCACTGCTGCGCCGACCATGCATCGCCTTTTGCAGTGTCACGCGCCATTGTTGTGCGTGCACATGTTTAGATCGATTGTCACAAATCATCTTTTGAAATCAGCAAATAATATGTATAGTCAAGAACTAAAAATATAAAAGGAAACAAATTAATCGCTTTTTCGCATCATGTATTCTGCGTGTTGCGTTGCGTCGTTGGATAGGCACATGCCGGCATCATGGCCACTTCGTTTGGCATCGCTCTCACCTCGCACCCTTGTCGTGCCGACGTGCCGGACGCCGTTGGCCTACATGACGCCATTACCGCGCCGGCTGCTGCAGTGCGTACAGTCACGCCCGCTGCTGCGCGTGCCCATGCATGCATCGCCTTTTGCAGTGTCACGCGCCCGTGCATGGGTTCACAAATTGTGCGTGCACACGTGTGCCCGTGTGCTAGCTCGTGAGATCGATTGTCACATAGTACGTTTTTTTTATGAAGGAAATTTACAATAAGCCAACTACTTTTTTCCCAGGGGCATGGTCCTTTTGGTGGAGAGTAGTGGGTACCAAATGCTACAGTCGATTTCAAGTTGACAATGTCTTGACCTTTTTGGTAGTTGTTGAGGCCGTGTTTAGTTTATCTCAAATTCCTAACTTTAACACTATACAAAAAGAAGAGATTCGTCACATCAAACTTCAGGTGCAGATATATATATTTTGCGTTTTGTTGGTTGAACATGCTGTTTTGTTCTTGATGATGATTTTGATGCAAACAAAGATCTTTATCTGAAATATAAATGTCATTGACGAAATAAAAAATAATTGACCATTATTATCAGTTTGTGTTTTATGCTCTTTTTGGCATCTTTGTATTGCTTTCTGCGGTTGTCGTGGAGCTCGTGGAGCTCTAAGCCTCCTAAGAGCACACATAGTCTTAAACATTTGACGTCTTTTGAGAACCTAATTACTCAAAACGATTGGATAATTATTACTAAATACAAACGAAATCTTATAAATCATCATTTATCTAGATGTTTGAGTGCTTGTAGAATAATTTTCTCATTATAATGTGCTATAGTGTTTTAGGGGAAGGGCGCCAAATTGAAACAATTATATTAAACATGGCCTGAGGCACTCAGGCAGGCGAGATCAATCCAAGCAATGATTGAGTTGTAAATAAAACTTTTCCGCCATGTGCAATTCTGCTTTGCTACCTCCGAAAATGCAGGGGGGATTGACCAAACCTCTAGATCTACAACGAGCATCAACTTGAGCTCTCGGCAGAATCAGAACCAGGTGCGCCATAGCTGGGAATTAGATTTAAATTCAGGTTAGTTGCACTCCCTGAATTTAGTGTTGCAGATCACTTTAAATTTATCTCAAGTTAAATATTTCGGATTTTGATCATTTCTATAGAAAATGTATTAACATCTACCGCTCCCTTCGGCAACAAAATGCGTACTTTGTATGTCACAGAATGCAAGGGTGTTGACCGAACGCGTCTAGATCCGCGACGAGCAACAGCAACGCACCTGACCCCCCGGAAAAGAAGCTGGAACATGTGCAATCCACGATCTGGAGGTGATAAATCAAATGGTAGATCCAACCTTCACGAGTTAAGCACGCTTGGGTTTTTAGGGAAATGACTCGAGCAAGCTAAGCTCAAGGACAACTCCGGTAACGGCAGTTGAATCATGCTATAGCCCACATGGCTGCAGTCCTGCACCGATAGTCTCGACTCGAATGAGCAGTTGGGGCCTGGGGTCGAGCAGCAGCAAAGCTGCGTGCGCCTTGAATGAGCTGGTGGCAGTTGCCCGGCGCTGGGCTGCGGGCTGCCTGCATCGTCAGTTGGGGTCCCCCGTGCCGGCCGTAGGCCTGTTTAGATCGTAAGTAAATTTTTACAATTTAGATATTGTAGTACGTTTCATTTTTATTTGACAAACTTTATCTGATTATGGACTAACTAGGCTAAAAATATTTGTCTCGTAATTTACAACCAAACTATATAATTAATTATTTTTTATCTATATTTAATACTCCATGTATGTGTCCAAAAATTAATGTGATGAAGAGAGGATAAAAAAACTTAGAATTTTGAAGCAATCTAAACAAGGCCGTATTTGCATTGCACCCATCTCGACGCCGGAGACTTTGAGCAGCTCCGCGTCGCAAGCCATGTGCGCAGTGCGCGGCCTGTGGGCTGCGGCCTGTGGGCGATGGCCGAGGACCGCGGACCGAGGACCGAGGCCACATGCGCGCTGCCCCTGAGCCGTTGGGCTCGCCATGTGACGCTGCCGCAGGCCCGCAGGGCGCGCTGGATCCTGCAGCGCGCGTCCTGGTGATCTGTGAAGGAGCTAGGAAAGAAGCAGGCTACCTTGGACATCGTCGTTATTATCTTTAGGATCACTCTGGAAGAAAGAGCTTAGATTTTGATGAAAAATTTAAGGATTGAGTTGCGCCAGAAAAGTTCACCTCATGGGAGGTCCTTGAGAAGCTCGAGAAGGTGAAAGATATCTACCTAGGTAAGCATGGTGGAAAAAAGAAACGAAAGCGTGGAGAGCTAGTGATTTATAATCGAAAATCTGTTTGGTGGGGGCTACCGTATTGGAAGGACCTGTTGCTGCCACACGATCTTCATGTCATGCACATTGAGAAAAATATATGTGAAAATATTTTTTTGGACATTGCTGAAAGTGGAGGCAAGACAAAGGACACAACGAACGCTAGGCTAGATTTGCATGATATGAACATAAGTCCTCAATATCACGGCGTGCAACAAGGCACATCGCCTAAATTCCCAAAAGCTCGCTATGTCATGACGGAAAAACACAAAGTAGAATTTTGCAAGTTCCTTAAAGGTGTCAAGTTTCCAAATGGTATGCAGCCAACCTAGCAAAATCCATAAAGTGCAGATGGTACCAAGGTAGTTGGCAAGCTGAAAACGCATACTTGCCATGTCCTTCGCCAGAGGATCATACCTACAAGCTTGAGAGGTTTTCTTCCCAAAGATGTATACGAAGCTCTTTCAGAAATTGGGAACTTCTTCAGGCAACTGTGCAGTAGAACTCTGAGAAAAGAAGTCATGAAAAAGCTGAAACAGGACATCCCACTCATCTTATGAAAGCTTGAGAAGATTTTTCCACTAGCCTTTTTCGATGTTATGGTGCACTTGGCTGTCCATCTACCTGATGAGGCACTTCTTAGAGGGACCATACAGTACGGATAGATGTAACGACGACCGGGCACGTTGAAAAATTTGTTGAGGAACAGGGTCAGGCCTGAAGGATCAATTACAGAGGCTTATTTAGAAAGTGAGATGTTGATATTTTGGGAGAAGTTCATGGACGATGATGTTAAAATAATATATAACCAGGACAACAATATGTCATATGATGGGTCAGCAGATGGTGACACCTTTGTTTTCATGCATGGTGTCAAGCCCATTAGTAAGATTACGGCAGTGAACATCGATGATAAAGTCAAAATCAATAAGCTAGCTTGGTATGTGCTTAATAACTGCGACGAGGTTGGACTATATGTGGAGTAAGTATGATTTTTTATATGCTGATTTGCTGTTTCCTATATTGCGTACGAAATGTTACCAATAATAATGTTTATATGTGCTACAGAATATATAGACAAATTTTAGAGAAAGGGGCAAGTGATGTTGTTGATAGTAGCTAGCAGCAGAGTTTCT